TTTACTGTAATTACTAGTATCCTATTTTAATTTGTTTACTTCATTTACAGCTAGTCTAACTAGGTTTTGGTTGAATAAATATGAAATTGTGACTTATTACTTGTGGTAATGGAAATAATCATGTGTGGATTTTAGGAATTAAACCAAAAGTTACTGTGGTTTGGGTTCAGAATGATACTGATGTTTCAAACTTTTCATTTGTGATATATGTTTGTTCTTTGTTCGTTGATTAAATCCATATGGAATTTTAAGTGTTCATTTGTTCTCGTTATTTGTCTTATTATCTTGTTTCATGTTGGGTTTTTTTCCGTTGGATGCGTCACTGCGATAAATCGTCCGTTTGGTTAAATTGAGCTAACAGATGTTGTGACTTGGTTTTGGCTGAGTTTGTTCCATAAAGATAAAATAGTAATGAGAGGGATACCACACTGTCAAAATAGACCTTGTCCGTGTGTAAAGTGGGTTCGGGCCAAAATGTTTGCTGGTCCCAATATCAAATAAGCTCACTCTTTTTAAGGGCTTTAGATATAAATGAACTTCTCGATGATAACAATGCCTAAGTTTACACTTTATCCACAATTGACTTCCATAACTCATGGCTTCTCAATAATCTCAAACGTGGAGATGAACAACTTATGAACATCGTAGCTTGCTTTAGGCGCGATTAAATAAATCATCATGGCTATGGGTACGGTTCTCGTGGCATAGTCGTGATACATAATTCCCAAATCCGGGTGTGCATTTCATGTGACCCGATCATAACAACCTTGAATAATAATAAAATAAACATGTCGCAAATCGCGGGTGTATTTCATGTAGCGCGGTTTGCAATGTATTCCAAAACGGCAAGTGTACGACAATCGTAACTTGTTCAAGAAATAATTTCATAAATCCTAAAAAGTGATTAAATAAATAAAAGCGGTTATAAAGTAAAAAATACACGTAGGTTTAAAACATGTAATAAATGAGATAATTAGGTCAATTATTAATAGTTAAGCGACCGTGCTAGAACCACGGAACCCAAAAATGCCTAACACTTTTTCTTGGGTTAACAGAATTTCTTACCTAGTTTTCTAGTTTTGCAGACTTTTAAAATAAAGTCAATTTTTCTCAATTTGGGATTTAAAATAAATCGATGACTTGGGACACCAAATAAATTATTTCAAGTGGCGACTCTGAAAAATAAATAAATAATTCCATTTCGATTATCGTCATTTTAATTGGAAAAACTCCCTTATATACCCCCCCCCCCCCC